GCTTCTGCTGCTGCTGCTGCTGCTGCTGCTGCTGGACGGATTCCAGCCATTCCTCAGCAGTGTGTCCTCAGCACAGACCTTCCGCCAAGCGGGCTCCATGAAACAAACACGGTGGCCCTGTTAGCAGCAGCAGCAGCAGCAGCAGCAGCAGCAGCCACGGGGAGAGCTGCAGCTGCTGCGCCTGCTGTTGCTGCTCCTGCTAGTTTTATTCTGGCCTCAAGACCACGTCAACTCCATTTTAAATGGAATATTCAAGTTTTTATTTATTATTTATTTCATTTCAAGCTCACAAATGCAACAGAGGCCGGCGCATGCAGCCCCACTCGTCGCCGGGAGTTTTTCCCTGGTTTCTTCGCCTTTGTGGGAAGGCAGTGGGAAGCAGCAGATAAATTAACACCATTTAATGTTTTTCTTTTCCGTTTTTTCACCAAATTCTGTTTTAAGGGCCAGCTGCAGCAGTTTCATTCGCCTCAGAAGCAGAAATTGAAGGAAAAAGGGAAAAAACGAACGAATTCTTCATCTTACTGACAATTTGCTTCTTGAGTACACCTGCTGCTTCAGCTGCTGCTGCTGCTGCTGCTGCCGTGAGGCATATGCGTGCTGCTGCAAAGCCCCTGAGAAGAAGAGCCCCAGATGGAGGTGGATAAAGGCCCAAGTGAAGGAGAACCTTCAGCGGGCTCCTGCTGCATGCCTGGCAGCAGCAGCAGCAGCAGCAGCAAGTCAGTTGACCAAGTGCTGCAGTCTTTGCCTTGCCCCCACATTTGGGTGCACCGCGGCTCCGGCGGCCGGCTGAGAAAGGCAGCAGAAAAGACCATCAACGCACTGAGACAGGTGGGTTGCTGCTGCTGCTGCAGCTCTTGCTGCTGCTGCTGCTGCTGCTGTGGCTCTTGATGCTTCTGCTGCAGCGGCTCTTGCTGCTGCTGCTGTTGCTGCGGATGGCCCTGCTGCAGCAGCAACAGCTGGTGCAGGAGCTAGGTGCTGCGCCGCCTGAGCAGCACACACCAGCAACAACAAGGATTAGCAGAAGCAGCAGCAGCAGCAGCAGCAGCATTCCCAGTAGCAATTACGTTTTCACCGCCTTTGCTACTGCTGCTGTCTTTTTTTAAAATAAAGTTTAAACACTTAGTCAGCCCAAGCGACACTGCTGCTGCTGCTGCTGCCGCTGCTGCTGCTGCTGCAGGAGGGCGCAGTGTGTCTGGCAGCAAAAGTGAACACAGCAAACCGCTGCATTTCTGTGGCAGAAATTGCAAAAAGAGAAATAAGAAGTAAAGGGAGAGAAGTAATTAACAAGTGCTTCTTTGCTGGCCTTGTGGTAAGACAATAATTTGCTGCTGCAGCTGTTTCGCTGTTGCTGCTGCTGCTGAAGGCGCTTTCGCTGCTGCTGCAGCTGCTTCGCTGTTGCTGCTGCTGCTGAAGGTGCTTCCGCTCCTGTTGCAGTCAGTGCCTGCACGGCTGCTGCTCGTGCTGCTGCTGCTCGTGCTGGGGACGTTTCTGCTGCAGCTGTTGCTGCTGCAGCTGTTGCTGCTGCAGCTGTTGCTGCTGCAGCTGTTGCTGCTGCAGCTGTTGCTGCTGTCTCTAGATGCTTGTTTTTGTCGGGGAGGTACTGGCACGCGAATATGCTGCTGCTGCTGCTGCTGCTGCTACCCTTGCCGGCGAACTGCGGCGGGTGTTTGCCCTCAGCAGCAGCAGCTGCTGCAGCAACAGCT